CGCCAGAACGACCGCGACATCGCAGCGGCATGGCGTTTTTGAGGCAGTGGGCGCTACTTGTTTTCACTTGGAACTGAAGCCAAAAAGTTTCACTTGCGGGCTATGATCTGAACTTGATTTCTGGCATTCGAGAGTCCACGTTTTCTTGATGATACCAAGAAAGCACAACTCATACCCAAGCGTCTGTGAGTACATTTTACGAACATGTGACACACTTTCTTATAGTTTGCACCTAATGCTGACAGCAATCGGCACTTGGAACCCTCATTGGTAGCTCGCTCTTTTTCAGGAGATTCGGGCGGCTCCGCGCAATTCATTTATTTGATAAAGCAACTCGTGACCTATCAATAGTATTGCCATGTGTCCAAATCCATCGCACGATCAGCGAGTGGCTTTTGTCTTTCAGTAGGCGGCCCCAAGACCTGACGAGTGATGTTGCAGTGTTCAATCTTGCTGGTTTTCATCAGACGCTTTCCCTGCCTTGATTTTCGACTTTGCGTCGAAAACCTTCAAATCCACGTGGTAGTGCGGCCGCAACGTCCTGACCAGGAAAACCGATGACTGTCGAGAGTTTTCTGACTGCTTTTGACGGCAAATGTATTTGCGTCCAAGACACTTGCAACGTGGGCATAGCCAGCACTTTGCGGACTTTGTCTAGCGGCCGCCAGCAAAAGAAGATAAGGCCCCTGCCAGAGCTGTTGACACATCTCACAAGCACGCATTTGTGGATAGGTGTCCTCGAAGATCCGCTGTTCTCCAAGGTGTCCGTGCGGCAATCGCCGTTTTGGCACAATTGGGCGGCTGCCTGCGTCAAGTGTAACTTTATTCGATTCACCACTTGGTAAAATTCCAATGGTCAAAGGAAGTTTAGAGGAACTTCCGCGTTACGAACATTTACATCACTCATCATACACCACTCATCATACACCACTCAATATACACCAGTCATCATACACCACTCATCATACACCACTCATCATACACCACTCATCACACACCACTCATCATACACCACTCATCATACACCACTCCTCAGACACCACTTATCACACACCAGTCATCGATCATACACCGCTCATCATACATCACTCATCATACACCACTTTTGATTACACCACTCATCATACATCACTCATCATACACCACGTTTGATTACACCACTCATCATACACCACTCTTCATACATCACTCATCATACACCACTTTTGCTTACACCACTCATCATACACCACTTTTGCTTACACCACTCATCATACACCACTCATCATACACCACTCATCATACATCACTCATCAGACACCACTCATCATACACCACTCATCATCCAGTTAGCTCTAGTTTCAAGAGCTCCAGCTCCAGTTAGCTCTAGTTTCAAGAGCTCTATCTCCAGTTAGCTCTAGTTTCAAAAGCTCTAGCTCCAGGTGGCTCTAGTTTCAACCAGTTTACGTGGCAGGCACAGCACTTTGTGAACCTCCATGCGCAGATTTCGTGGCAGGCGCAGCACTTTGTGAACCTCCATGTGCAGATTGCGTGGCAGGCGCAGTACATTGTGAACCTCCATGTGCAGATTTCGTGGCAGGCACAGCACTGTGTGAACCTCCATGCGCAGATTTCGTGGCAGGCACAGCACTGTGTGAACCTCCATGTGCAGATTTTGTGGCAGGCGCAGCACTTTGTGAACCTCCATGTGCAGGTTGCGTGGCAGGCGCAGTACTTTGTGAACCTCTATGTGCAGAGTTCGTGGCAGGCACAGCACTTTGTGAACCTCCATGCTTCTCCGAACCTCGACGGGGAAGCTCCCCGGAACGACGGTTGCGAGACGGTCTCGGGTCATGGTCGGATCATGGGCGGAATCGTCCCTCAAATGTGATTAGAGTTTTCACTTGTTTCTTGCAGTGCGGATTTCGTGGCAGGCACAGCACTTTGTGAACCAATGTACAGATATCGTGGCAGGCGCAGCACTTTGTGAACCTCCATGTGAAGATTTCGTGGCAGGCGCAGCACTTTGTGAACCTCCA